GTAGAACCTGTACAGGCTTCTGTTAATCAGTGGATCATTACCCAGGACAAGAATTGGGTGCTCCCGCCTCCGACTATAGGGGTCAGCTTGGCCCAGATCTGTCCCACAGACGTGGAGATCAAGCCTTGGATGAAGTTTACTCGACATCCTATTTCATGGGATGGGATGACGGATGCGGGTACGTTTGGCGTGTTTTTATTTATTTAATTTAACTTTGCGATAGGCGGAAAATCTGGCAAGAAGCTTGTACTAATTGGGGCTGCTGCGGCCAAGGCTTCTGTGAATGGCAAGCTACCAACCAGAGCACCGTCCCATGAAGAAGATCCCTTGGAAGGCTTGCACTTGCTAATGGACTACCCGTCAGACGAAAAGCCTTCCTATTCGTATGCGCTCATGACACGGTTCGCCATTCTCGGGTCACCCTTCAAATCTCTTAGTCTGGCAGAGATTTACATCATGCTTGAAGCCAAGTTTCCCTGGTTTGCGAGGGAAGATAATAAATGGCGCGATTCGATTCGGTATAATCTCAGTAGCAACAATTGGTTCGTCAAGACGAAGCGGGCTTTGCACCAGCCTGGTGTCGGCAATCTGTGGACAGTAGACGAAGAGAGTCCAGGCGGTAAGGATATTTATTTATCTAATTTACTTTTTCTGACTTTATCGTAGGCCCCAAACGTCCTAGAAAGGGGCGCAATAGTAAAGGAGGAAGTGCCTTTACGGATATTGACGATGAAGAGGACGAAGATCATGAGGGAGAGGAACCAGCTCCTTCTCGTCCTTCTGCGACAGAACAAGCCGCCCAAGCCGGTACCAGTCGCAACGGAACCCTGATGCTTACGTTCGATAGTAAGCAAAGGGTTCCCCTTGACACTCAACAAGCTGAACGAGGAGCCTCTGCTCATGCCAATCATAATCTCATCTCTCGCGTTTCGACTCGTCAACAAGCTCCGGGTGCTCCACCGACTCGTCCGCCTCTCACCTCTCAAACACCTCCAGACCCGACCCCGCATAATGAGGCGCGCCCCCCAAAGCCTGTGGAACAGAC